AATGTGAAATTTCTCGCACGTATGTATACAAGCGAAAAATATTACTCTTAAGTAATTCTGAAATATCGTTATTAAGGATTTCTTCAATTTTTTGAAAACGCAATTAATTAATTAATACGTTTTGATTAATGCAAATTTTATATTCAATAGAAGAATTTACACGAAATTCTTCATTTTAGGACTTATAAGAGTTTCCGAAGCAGAAAAAACCATTTCTTTTCTTTTTTTTTACTTTTAATGTAATGGATCGAAATTATTGTAAAATTATTTTAACTTTATTTAAGTAAGATATTATAAAACCGTTGAAACGATTGACTGATATGATTATTGGAAAGCAAAATAATCGGTTATCGGAGTGCCAGCAAAATAAAAAATGTAAAAAGCGTCCTAAGATGATGATTCCTTCTTGTGCATTCCAAACTATTCCAAATTATACGCTATTATTACTGCCGTGCGAAATGACCGCTCGTCACAAGAAATGTCATCAAATTATCAATGGATAAAAACAAATAACTTGTGCCTTATGCACAATTAATGCAAAATTTCTTCTTTTTTTTTTAATACAAATGAGAAGAGAGGAGACAGAAAGAAATAGAGAGGTGGTAGCTGCAGCGTGGTGGGCGCGTGCTCAATCAATAAGTGTGTTGCCTTTACTGACTGAGGACTCACTCTAAGTATGACCAAAGAAATGTCTACCGCATTTGAAATTTGAACTCGCCAGCAAAGAATTGATGATCGCGGTTCGCACCTGCTCGCCTACACAGGCGGATGACTTGCTAAGTTCATTGCTCTTTGTCTTCATTTGCATTTCTACCCTTGTATGGTAGACTTTGGAATCGCTACTAAACTACATTGCCCGGCTCGAATCGTCGGTCATGATGGCCGCAGTAGCAGTAATCAATTGTAACGTCTATAGTGCCAAACTTGGCAGTTGTATGCAGAACCTGATAAATTTATATAATTTGTTACCGCATTGCTATGTTGGTATAGTGTACCGTTGTTCTAGTCAACGTTCGCATCAAGGTTGAGAAGCTTTTGCAGACGTTTGTTTATAACGCTGACGTAATATGAGAAGTGCGAAGAACAGTGCTGTGTGAATCGTTAGATGGTGATCGAAAGTTTAAGAGAAGGGCGAGGTGTACATTTTCTCCGCATTGCAAGTTATCGAAGTCCGAATGTATGGAGCTTAACGCTCAAGTTTAGCCGTTTTTTTAAATAGCGAATAGTAGTTTTATAGAACTTTAATTTTTTAATACGTTAGATAAGATTGTAATGGTTCGGATGAACGTATTACAGGGGGCGACCAATAAAATTATACCGCAGGAGCAAGCGACCTATTTATCTCCAACTCGTATTCTTTATATATTTTGTAAATAAATCTACAAAGCAAGAACATATGCTTCACTGAAAAGTTTACCGCACTTGAAACTTGAACCTGCGGCCGTTGAATATGAATTTTTTATAGCAATTGTTCAATTAAATTGAATTAAAAATTGGTTTCACGTCATTAATTTTTCTTTATTTTATTTCATAAATTTATAGAGTCACCGATAAGTCGAAAACATCGCATAAACTGGACAATGTAGTTTGCGGTGATGCTACAGGACTATTAAAAGGCGATGTAGAAAAGTCCTCAAATATTATGTCAACTATTGTTTTTTTTTTGTTGTCATCTGGAGAGTTCTCAAACACTACATCCACATCTTGCAGGTTTTTTGGTATTTCAAGCAAAGCACTTGTATGAATATATATGGAAAGAGAATATT